TATATATATATATATATATTCAAGGATTCAAGGTTCTTTATTTGTCATACACACCACATGTAGTACATGTGGTGGAACGAAATTGTGTACACAGGGTCCCAGTTACATCCAACAAAAGTATGAACTAAGAAAAACATTAACTAAAAATACACTAAGCACTATAGCATAAGAAAAAAACAATACGCCGAACAGCAATATGAGTAGCATGATTTTTTTCCATTTTATATTTATATATACATATACATGACAGATTGTTCTATTTAAATCCTGTTACAGATGAGGTGGATGAATGCAATGCCTGCTATGACATTCAAACGTGGCATGAAATTTTAGGTCACTGTAACTATGATGATGTATCAAAATTGGAGAATGTTGTAGATGGAATGAAAATCAGAGGTAAAACTGAGAAAGTCTGACCTGAAATGTGAAGTATGCATAAAGGGTAAATTTATCCAGACCAGGAGTAGAGATTCTGATGAAAAGGCTAAAGATATATTTGATCTTGTACATGCAGATCTGGCTGGACCAATAGAACCAGCAGCTAAAGATGGGTTTAGATATACTTTGACTTTTACAGATGATTGTTCAGGTGCTATTTTTACTTGTTTTCTGAAAGCTAAGAGTGATACTGTTAAAGGTGCAGAGAAGTTCATTGCAGATGTGGCACCTTATGGGAAGATCAAATGTACAAGATCAGATAATGGAACTGAGTTTATATCTAAAGAGTTTCAGTTATTGCTCAGTCAAAATGCCATTAGACATGAAACTTCAGCCCCTTATTCACACCATCAGAATAAGACAGCTGAAAGAACATGGAGAACTGTTTTTGGAATGGCAAGATGCATGTTAACTGAGAGTAACCTGCCTAAAGATCTATGGACATATGCAGTCCAGACTGCGGCTATTATCCATAATAGATGTTACAACAGGTGTGTTGAGCAGACTCCATATTACATGTTAACTGGAAAGAAACCTGACCTTTCAAAAATGAGAACTTTTGGATCTGAATATTATGCTTACAAATACGACAAGAAGAAGTTGGATTCACGTTGTGAAAAGGGAATTTTTGTTGGCTATGATAAGAATAGTCCTGCATATCTTATCTTTTATCCAGACACGGGCAGAGTACTTAAGAATAGGCTGGTAAAGTTCACCACAAAAAGTACTAATGAATGTGACACTCTGTGACAAATAAGCACATGAACACAAACAATGGCAAAAACATTATCGCCTTAAAGAGCAAAAAGTGTAGTTTATTCAATTTTATCATATCATCTTAAGCCTAGAAACACAGTTGTCCTTTTCAAATATGTTTTGCAGGGAACTGGAGCCCATTTATCACCAGTGAGGAGACATTGCCCTCTAATGGTGACAGCACTGTGAACCAGTGCATCCCCATTATTCAGTTCAAGTGGACACATTTCTGTTTTCTAAAGTGCAGGGATTGTTCTCTGTGACCACATACCTGTTTAGAGTAATGCAAGTAATAGTACATAAAGTGACTGATTTTAAAAATTTGGTCCAGATGTTGAGGATTGACTTGACGACTGCCTCAACTCTTGTCGTTTGTATACATATAGCAGGCTGCTGAAGGAACAGTGAGACGCCTTTATTCCAGTGTTCAGACCAAGAGCAAGCTGGAGGGGACAGCGCTCCCTGCAGAGGCACCAGATGTGCGCTGTTATGGAGAGCAGGAGTGAGGGGCCTTTTGTGAGGCATCAGATAAGCCTTGTTCCCAAAGCCAGGCCGGATCAGGTATCACCAGTGGATCTACGAGGGGGCGAAACCAGAGCCGTGCGCAGTGGATCAGGTTTCTGTTTACTCGAACGTGGCCTCTGGATTTCTCCAACCAGAGCAGATTGAGGTAGGCTGAAAACAGGGAGAAGGGGTAAAAAAGGTTGTCTGTCTACCTGCAAGCAGGGACATTTTAAGACTCTTTAAGGAATCTAAAAGTGTAGGCTTCAACTTTAATTATAGCTGAAAGAATGATTTAAATGTTGGTTAAGATAAGCTGCCATGAATGCAAGAGCAGAGGTGCATTGCACTGTAAAAAAAAAATCCCTGGCCTTCCATCAAAAATAACCATGCACCAAATGTTTACATTCAAAGTTTGTTCACAGAGACAGGACTAGTTGTTATGTCTTCAGACAAAGTTAGCTCAAGCCAGTTGGAGACTTTCAGGTGTTTTTAGTGCAACGCGCACACACAGGCTTCGTACACGGTTGCTGATCAAACAGATGCCATTTGAGAAAGCTCTGAAGCTTGTGCCATGGTATCATTTAACTCGCAGTGCTCTTTTCATCTCTTTATTTTAAGACAAGAGCGTACAGACAGTGTTTGTACTGTGTCCCCTCAGATAAAACACAGTCTTTGCATTCCTTATGAAATGTATCTGTTGAGATTTGGGAGGGGTGGGCGCCAGGTGTTATGTTACATTAAATCAGAGGGCCCTCCCTTTGCAGAGAGGACCTGACTTATGTAGAGGAGGGATTTACCTTTCACAATAAAAGCCGTACAGGCAGCAACAGACCACAGCTTACAGTGAGGTGAATGCAGTACCAGCATGTGTAAGTAGCTAAATTAGCCATCAGCAACAGCTCAATCCATCCTGACATGAAAGTAATTAAAAGACTAAATGCACACATGAACAAGATCCAAAGTTTAATAACTTTTGAGCTCATACTGGCACTATATTCGGAAGTGATAATCCTTCTCAAAATTATGGAAACCTCAAAAGAGGTGAAAGCTACTCATTAAAATTTCATGAAAACCAGTAAAAATAATAACATAAAGTAAGAAGCCAAATCAGTGTATTATTATTTTTCTTACATTGATGGATAAAGTGTCATTAAATACAAAAAAATTGTGAACAACATTTGCAACTGGATAGCAACTCCCATGCGTTTGCTAACTTACAGAAACAGCTGAAGTGATTTAAAATAGGTCAACAATGGCCACAACTATGGAATAGCCATTTTGGATAAAGAAGTCAGACAGTTTTGATGTATTGGTAAATATTTACATTCAAATTTGTCTGATTTTAATGTAAAGTATGCAGATAAAAGCGCTTTGTTTACAATGGGTGCACGCCTGCATATTAGAATAGCATTATCTATCTATCTATCTATCTATCTATCTATCTATCTATCTATCTATCTATCTATCTATCTATCTATCTATCTATCTATCTATCTATCTATCTATCTATCTATCTATCTATATATATATATATATATATATATATATATATATATATATATATAT